TGATTTTCGCAATTATATTTGAAAAAGGTAATAACTTACACAAAATATTTGAAGAGATAAGTCTTTCTTTAACATCTGAAGTCCAAGTTTGACATCTAGATCTAGACAAACATGAACGAACAAACGAAGTTGGTTGATACTCTTCCATCCTAGCGATAAAAAACGAAACAATACATAAATTACACGATATTCGATCGATTATCGATAATCGATATTACAATTATTGAAATCAAGTATGATTACATTGATATAATGTAAATTCTCTTTTTCTATGAAAGAAACTACTTACTACAAAACGCAAAGTGCACTACAGACACCACAATGTATATAAAATACAAAATATTTAATACAAGTGATAATAGCAAATAATAAAATAATTTATTTTATCTTAATAACATTTTACATTAAAATTTATTGAACTTTTTATAAAAGGTAATGTAAATTTTACTATGCAGAGTCATACTCCTTCAGTTTTTTCCTGGCTAAAGTCCGTTGTGTTGCAAACGAGTACGATCTTGCAGATGTTGGACGTTCTATACGAGATTGCTTGATTTCACGATCTTGCGCTATTACTTGCATTCTGTTCGGAGGATTTTGGGCAAATAACTCCACTATATTCATAGAAGCTGCATCGCACTTTTAGAAATCACAAAATTCTTAGGAATATACTTCTTTCAAACACTTCCATGTTAAAGATTTGATTTCATTTGACTTATTGACAGCAATAAAATAATAAATTTAAGTAAGCTATATTTAAATATTTCTACTATTAAAAAGATGTAAGATATCTTAAGTAGAAACTATTTATTTAATTCTATGTTATTGATTGCTAATTATTATTAAGTAAATATAAATAAAAAAAGAAAAATAACAAACATGTCACCATATATTCACATAATTAGTAAACTAAAACATCAACTGTTTTAAACTGTTTTAAAAAATTATAAAAAAACAAAAACATATTTTTCTACTAAATTCTTGAGAATGTTACCTGTAATTGAAGACGATGTAAAAAATTAAATTCTGAACGATTAAGGGGTGCGTCGACATGAAGTTTAAGCATGCAGTGTAAAGCTTCCTTATATGTATTTTTTAAAGCAATCACGCGTTCGGTCCGCATCATTCTACGTACTAAATAGCCTCTTACATATGCACTGATTATAGTTGCTGCTTTTATCTGTAACACAAATATTATTATGTGATTTTGAGTGGCGTGCGAAATAAAAAATATAAATTTAGACTATTCTTACATGTTTAGCAGCATATATTGTCCTATCAAGGATTGGTACATGAGTAGTTTTACTATCTAAAGGAAATAATTCCCGACTAACATTTGAACGTTTACATTCATCATTCTCTACTAACGATTTCTCTTCATCGTTTCTTGTGTCAGCTGGTGGTTGTATCTCTGTGTCTTTCTTTTCTATTCTGGTCACACAATTATTAATTTTAGATGCTAGTTCTGTTTCTAATGATTGTACCACACACGGATAATTAATAGAGCAGGGAGCATTATCAAAATTTATGTCAGAATAAATGTAATTCAATGGACACAGAACTATTTTTGTATTATCATCCTGTGAGTGTTCTACTTCATTCTCGTGTTGTAAATTATTTTTTAATGTTTTGATATTTTGTGTATTATTATCAGCGTTTTCGAAACATTTGTCACCATTAGGGGTTTTGATTTGATCGAAAGCTGGGGATAAAATATTTTCAGAAAGTAGTGAACCTGAAATTTCTGGAAACGATTTTTTAATCTCAGTCAACAAAAGTAACTGTTGTTCTTCAAATTCCTTTTGAAGTAGTATTTGTTCTCTTTGCTGTCGAGACATTAGTTCAGCCATTTGCTTTTTATGCATATCTTGTACCTCTTTATAAACTACTAAAAGTTTATCAGATGCAATGGAAGATTTTAACTTAGATATAGAGTCTTGTATTTCTATGTTACTTGAGACCTTCCCTGTCAAATTATTACTTACAGAAGTGTTATTATACTCATTTAGGTCTTCCAGGGAACCTTCAAGTTTACATGTTGAATTAACAGTAGAAGAACTGTGACATTTTCTCTGTGTTTGAAATCTTTGTTTTTCCTCAATACTGTTATCCATAGTAAACTTCTTACCATGATTAATTTGTTTATTACTTCTATCTGTATATTCTTTAGCTAACATTGTTTGAATACAATCAACAGATCTTGTAGATGGATACATTGCAAAACAGGATTTAGGTTTTGTTTGTAAAGAAATTGATTTACACATTGTACGACCAGTATTAGAATAAGAGTTTCCTTGAAGTGTAGACACAGATTTAAATGATTCCATAGGAATAGATTCTTTGCTTTTAGTCTCATATTCCCACTCAACTTTAGCTTGTGCAACATTCCATTCCTTTGGATGGATCATATTGGCACACAGTTTGGTTGGAACATATTCTGAACAGGGAGTACAAGCTGAACTGGCTAGCTCCATTTGCATATGTGCTAATAATATAGGACTTGGAGTATCCAACACATAGGAACCTTGACGCACTAGTTTAGGAGTATCTTCTATATTATCCAAATCACTTTCTTGATACTTTTTATTTCCTTTACAATTAGAGTTACTCAATGTCAATGGAATAATGTTTAATGTTTTAGGCACTTGTGGTTTCCAAATCTCTGATACTGTTTCTGTAGTACTAGATTTTGTTGAAGCTGATTCATTCAAACAGTGATCTGTATCAATACTAGTGGTTAGGGATTCTGATCTTGAAATTGTACCAGAAGTCAAACTTATCTGATTTTCAGATTTATATTTCGTGTTTAAATTTTTACTAAATTGCGAGCTATTCTCTATATTTTCATTAGAACTTTCAAAAGTTTCTATCGGAACATCATTCATATCTGTAATATTTGTTTTATTATAATTACTATTTTTATACTCAAGAGGAACCAGATTCCCTTTCAAACTATGAACTTTCTTTCTAAATTGTATATCCTTAGATTCTTTTTTAATCTTTCCTAAATGCATACCATTGTTACATTCTCTAGAAATACGTAAAGCAGTCAATTTTTTTTCTATATTTATTGCACATTGTTTATAATTAGACATTTCTCTTTTGATATCTTTAGTTATCTGAAAAAGATAAAATTTATTACAGAATGAACATTCAATGATAATTGTATATAATGTAATTAACATTCATACCATAGGTGGTAAAATACGAACTCCATTAATCTTGATACATGAAACATACGAATGACCTTCCATATTTTTAATTTTTTAAATAGATCTGCCAAAAATTATAGTAAATATATACTTAGAGAAAACAAATATTAATCAAGGAAGGCTTATTTGTTCCGGTAATGGTCCTTGCTTAAGGTGGATAAAAAATAAAATATTTCTTTACACACCAATCAGTAAAAGCATTATTAACGAACATACTGTTTATTATTGAAAAGATATAAATAAAATAATCAAATGATAGCGTTACATAGTAATCTGAAAAAAATTGAATAAAGCGATGAACATAAATCAAAGTTTGGGATTGCATACTGTCAAGGATTGATTTACTTAATAAACTTCTTCAAATATTAATTACTACTTACATCAACTTTGTATTTTTTAATAAACATTTTATACAATAAACCGATGGTATTATATCAAAACAAGCTACTTAGTTTTCATATACAAAAATTTCATTAATCATTTACATCTTTTTCGTTACGGAAACATAAACTGGCTGCTCTGTTTACCTTAATAGTAGATAGATGGATACAACTTTTTCCCTTCCTAACGATTTAACAGGTGGAGTTGTTGTTCTATCGACAATCTTTTATGTGGCAATGTTGGTTATACTTATGTTACTATGATAAATGATACATTTCCGTGTTAAGTTAAAAAAAACTGAGTGTATATGTTTCTCGTTTACTGTAATAACGAAGGTTATGTATAATATAATTGTAAACTTATACAAAAATACGAACAAATTGACTCATTATTAAATACAATAGCAAATAATGGACGCATATGAACTTTTTCGAAAGCTTTCCAATGGTGTAAAGTTTGATAAAAGACGTTTTCAAGCTGATGCGGAAAGATTTCAGGTACTTTTTCAAAGAGAAACGCTACGTTTTGTAAATATAAGCATATTTTCAACGAACTTCAACAGTATAATAAACACTTTAATTGTAACAGCTCGTCAAGAAACAACCTGGAAATATACTTAATAACGAAGAGAAATGCATTAAAACGTTCGATAACATAAATTACTCGACACTGCGCAAAAAAAGGAAACATGATGAAATTGAGAAAGAAACAGAAAATATTAATGAATTGATATTACTTAATGATATGTCTATCTCTAAAAATAGAAATAATATAAAAAAGAAGTATAAAGAAACATCTTTAACCGAAGATAAACTGTTAAAATTAGAACGAGAAAAGGTTCTGTAACATTTTGTTACTATGAGTTAACTAATTTTAAAGGCAATATCATTCTGAAGAATTGTAATTTTTCTTTTAGATTAATCAATTTCGTAATCAACATCGTATAAAAGTCACAGGCAGTCGTATACCTGAACCAATTTCTGAATTTATGAAATTATCAACAACTTACGGAATACCAGACAAATTACTAAATAATATTATAAATTGTGGTTATGTTCATCCTACACCAATTCAAATGCAAGCTATACCTGCTCTGTTACAAGTCAGATTATTATACATTTTATATCTTCTAATGTTCTACATATACTAACAATTTTAGCAAAAACTAAAATATTAATAGTTTTTATTAAAATAGGGTAGACAAATACTAGCTTGTGCACCAACAGGATCGGGAAAAACAGCTGCATTTTTGTTACCCATAATTCATAATTTGGCTGGACCACAAAAGAAAGGATTCAGAGCTATTATTTTAAATCCAACTAGAGAATTAGCAAAACAAACATATAGAGAATGTTTGCACCTTAGTGAAGGATATAATTTTAGAGTACATATTATAAGTAAAATAAATCAAGCATTAAATAAATATGGACCTAAAAGTTCACAAAAATTTGGTTGGTATAAAACATGTTGAAAAACGTACAATGAAATAATTTAATATTAACATACTTTCATTTACTGCAGATATATTAATTACTACACCAAAAAGAATAATATTTCTATTAAATCAAGATCCACCAGCTATTTCTTTTAGCAAGTAAGTAACTAATGTTGCACATTTTATAATTTATAAATTTTGCTTCAACTTAATTTCATCTTGTTTATAAATAAAACATAATAACATGCAATTAAAATTTGATTAAATGTATACAGTGTTGAATGGCTAATTGTGGATGAAGCAGATAAACTTTTTGAAGATGGAACCAGATCATTTAGAGATCAATTGGAAATAATTTCAAAAGCATGCACAAATGAAAAATTAAATAAAGCAATGTTTAGTGCGACTAGCACTCCTACAGTAATCAAATGGTGTCGACGAAATTTGAAAGGTCTTATAACGGTTACAGTTGGCCACAGGTTTATTCTAGTTTTTCTAATGACTGTTACACAAATTCGATATTGCTTACTCAAACAAATGTTTACTGATATTATGTTTATCATAGAAATGCTGCAACCGATTTAGTAGAACAAGAACTTTTATTCGTTGGTGCAGAGAGAGGGAAACTTGTAGCGTTTAGAAATACTATTCAAAAGGTACTATTTTTATTTTAATACATTTAATGAGCCTCTCTTAATAAATGTACAACTATATTTAACGAAGGGAGTATTGCCGCCTGTGTTGGTATTTGTACAAAGCAAAGAAAGAGCACAAGAATTATTTAATGAGCTCATATATGACGGAATTAATGTTGATGTTATTCACGCCGATAGAACACAAACGCAGGTATTATTTTACACAGATTATTTACTTATTAACCAAATGTCATTTGATGCAATACGTTTAATACAAATTTTTTCCTTTTATTTTTTATTTTTTTTTCTAGCGAGACAATGTTATTCGTTGTTTTAGAGAAGGAAAAATATGGATTTTAATTTGTACAGAATTAATGGCAAGAGGTATTGACTTTAAAGGTGTAAATCTTGTTATTAATTACGATTTCCCACCGTCTGCTATTTCTTATGTTCACAGAATTGGTATGTATTTTTAACATTGATGGGAAAATTCATGTTTCAGAATTTTTAACGTTGATTAATTTAAAATAGGTCGTACCGGTAGAGCTGGTCGTAAAGGAAAAGCAATTACCTTTTTTACTGAACAAGATACTACAAATCTAAGGAGGTGAGCATTATTCAAATTTTACATTGAAAACATTTGATATAAATATTTACAAATAATTTTTAATGTTTTAGTATAGCTACTATTATGCGAGAATCTGGTTGCGATATTCCTGACTATATGTTAGCTGTGAAAAAACATAGTAAAAAAGAAAGAAGAAAACTCGAACGCTCAGCTCCTACTAGAGAAAAAATATCTACCATACCAACGTTCAAACGTGTACATAATAAGGAAAAGATAAGGTACAATGTTATTATACTTACATTTACAACAACATAATATAATATTATTTACATATTACAGAAAGGTTGCTGTAAACACTTTAGAAAACAAACATGAATTAGAAGGTGAAGAAAATGAAGATAAAAGAATGGATAAGGAAAATAGAAAAAGCGATGGAAATAAAGGAAAAGTAATGAAAGAGAGGAAAGGAAAACAAATTGTTAAAAGGAAACAGAAAATATCGAAAAAAGTTGTGAGTAGAAATGACAATCTTATGCATACATAATGTCATGTAAATTATTTAATCTACAACTGTTTTATCTCTTTTAAAAAGGAAACAAAACTAAAAGAAAGTAAAACGAAACCTAAAACTAAAAAAGACACCGAGTAAATGCAACGGAAAAATAAAAATTACAAACAA